CTCTATGTATGAACATTTTCTAAATGAGAAAAGCTATACACAAATAGGTTGGTTAAACAGTGATATCAACAGTCTTCTTTTATGTCATTTCTCAAAATCTGTGGTCGACACAATGACATTAATTCGAATGCTGACTGATATTTTTCATGCCGAATGTTAGACCATTATTTACACAGTGAATTGTCTTTGGGTATTTTTCGTTTTTCTCAATCATGACAAAAAGCACATGGCGGATGTCCCGGTTGACAGGTGATGCCTACTCCTTCGTTGCAACTGATCCCACCTCTGATTTTTAGAAGTCTATGTTTACTCTGCTTCTGAATGGCTTACATGTACTTTTAACGGAATTCTGAGCTTGAATAATGTCCGTTACATCCATAATTCATGATATAAAGACGATACTGTTATAACAACAGATAAAAATTACAGTAAACTGTTGTTTTAACATATGAGGTCAGATCATGTGTGACTGATGTTTCGTAAAAGTGAAGACATTTATCAGACAAGGTAGGCAGGGGACTGTCTTGTAAAAAATTATTATATATAATGAGTTGGTTCTATAACAATAGAGTGTTAATTTAAATCGTTGCAGTAATATTTATATACTGACAGTTACATTTCATTATGAAGACAATGAAATTGAACTAACTGTTGCAGTGCTGACAAAAACTTCAAACATAAGATATATGTAACAGAGACGGAAACAGTGAGATTTACACACTATTTGTTATGATTAGGCAGAGACAGTGATACGCCATGGATGCTACAGTCAGTACAGCAATATATTGTAATTCGACATCAATATAATGTTTGTAGCAAAAGTGTCTCAGATGCATAAGGAGATCTTGATTCATATTGCAATAATAGCACAAGATGCACACTCTGTTTTTTAAAAATTGTTTAAAAGTGAAGTATCGTACAGTTAGGTACTGTAAGGTTATATAACAAATGTGGCAAAAACTCTAGCGTTGGAATACATTTACAAATGTTGTTAGTTGTCATGCAGTGTGCTACATTATCTTGAAATAGCATTTTTATAAAGAAAAAAATATTTTGACATATTTTTATAATTCTTAGTAGGGGTTTTTATTACGAAATAAATGTTTTCAAATATGAAACCAGTGAAATATTCCTGTTTAGTTCAAGATCAGGCATACGATAACTTATCTTTGAATACAATTTTTACCCAATAATACCTTCTAAGCGAAATTTGCCCAAAGGTTTTCAAATCTTTGATGTATTTGTGGTTATCAACTTTTTTCTCGTTGCATTCTTTCATTTTTTTCTTAATTCATAACTTTTTCACAATTGCCAATGGATACACTGTCATTTATATCGCCATTTCATAATCAGCAATATGAATCTCTATTTCTCTTCCTTATGGACCACCTGCATTCAACATACAACACTGATTCCTTACATAAGTTGTTACGTGTTTCGTTGACAACAAGCACAAGTGAACAGTTTATTTACTCTCCTCTAGAGCTCTCCAGTTGCCAACCCATGCCGATTTCTGTTATTTATCACCCAAATTCAAATCACCTGTTCCTTCAGACATTTTGTTACACTCTTGTAGAAATCAAAGTACTCAGTTCACATAACAAAAATGCAGAAAATTCTTAGCCATTTCGCCAATGTAGAGTTGTTTCTTCTTGCATTTCCTTTAAAGCTATAACTTAAGTTCAACATAACCGATCAGATATTGTTCATTCTGTATTTACAAAACCCAATGAATTCTATTTTTTTTTTTTTAATAGATGTTTGATATTTATATACTGGAAATACTCTCTTTATGATAAGGAGAATTGTATACATGCGTTCTTTTTGCCTACTTGATAAGCCATTACAAGACATTCGATTCCCATAGCTTATTTTGCTTTGGCAAACCCAATTAGTTTCGTGGATTTCCATCGTAAAGATCATAATACATGTCTGTAAATTCAATTTTTACGGGGTCGGTATCCAGAAATAAACTTAGAGATCTAAAGAAATTCCTGCTTCAGAGGAACTGATGTCAGCGTTGTGTAAAAGTGAACTGGAGCGAACTGTTGAATATTCAAATCACTTTGTAGAATTTTGTATGATATTTGCTTCATTTTGTAAATGCTAAAAGCGAAGTCATTGGACCAGACTTTCAATTCAGAACGAATTTGAGTCAAATCCTGTAATGTTGAATGCTCATAAAGGGAAAACTGCATAATGACAAAACAATGAGGCAATCACAGGCTCTACAAAGGAAATGTTAGCGAGTTCAATAATTTTCTCTCTTTCTCTCTCTCTCTCTCTCCAGTTATACCAAGTATTTCAGTTTTACATGTAGGTACGATTCATTAAAAACTTTTTTTAAAGATATGCAAAGAAATATAGTCTGGGGATTTTTGTGGTTTAAAAAAATCATACAAGATTATTATTATTATTGAAAATTGGAATGTATATATTTGATTTGTATTCATTTCATTAATATTTAAATCAAAATTCAAGATATTGAAATTGAAATATGTATGTTCAATGCTACATTTTGTAAATATGTTGTGTAATACTTTTTATGGAACGGAAAAACAGATATCTTGCAGTACAAATGCATTTATCAGCTTTCTTTTTTTTCTACACATCCATAGCCTATAGGCTGTTCCTTATAGTTAGGGAATAACTGTCACAGCAGACTTAAATTATTCCTAATCGATGGTAATTACTGTCATAACTATTTTTTAAAAAAACCCTGTTTTGTTTAAAAATTGATTTTTCTTAATTTTCTTACAATATAATACAATTGCAAATGCATTTAAAAATTAAATATGTATATTTTGAAATGTGCACAGAATATCAAATTCTAAATCTAACTTCTGATTTTGGAATTTATTTTGCATAATACTTCCCAAGAACATTTACGAATCACATGTATGTTAGAAATATCAGCTTCAAGTACATTCAAAAACTTCTTCAATGTTTCCTGTAGGTACAAATGATTACTTTGGCATGACGTGAAAGTACATAAAAAGTCTAAGAAACATCTAAAACAATAAGAAATGCGAATCTCACCCTTTGCCAGAAAAGCACAAAATTTTTATCTATCTTGGAGCGTGATTCTCAAGCAAGCGTGAAATCTTTGTGCAACAATAAAGCTAGCCGAGATAAGTTTTCTGAGTAATAAAGAAATTATTTTGTAAATTAACATTTCACCAATTTGTATTATCTTTAAGTCACGTAAGTTAATCAAAGTTTTAAATTTATCCTAAAAATTAAATGATTACATCTGCAGAACATCCGCGAAAACTCTTACAAGCTTCTTCATTTTCTGTTTTGATCTTTGTTTTTATTTTACACGGTTTGTAAGATCTTTAATCTAAATTATTTTAACGAATTGAAATTTTGTCAGACACAAAAAAGTTTATTTCACATAAATTAAATTTTTGCAGAATCTTAAAAGCTGGGATGTGCAATTATTTTGGTTGTTTATTATTATAATATTCTGAATATAATATTTATAATAAACTTAAATATTACATAGAATTTATGATCGGGTAATTTCATGTAAATGTTAATTTCTAAAAAAAATTAACTTTAATCTTTGCAAGAAGAAACAAGTAACGCGTTTTTGTAAGGCAAATCTTTGTCTTCATTTTATTTAAAAATATCAATCTTTTAATTGTAAACGACGCTTTTAATATAATTTGTATGACCAAAATCTTCAATAAAGTTGTTAATTGGTATTTTTTTCAAATTATATCTATACACAATTAAAATGATTATAAGGAAAAGCAAATGAGAAGGAAAAAATACTCATAGGTACATGTAGTTGAATAAATTCATGGTCAGAGATGCGGATTAAAATATGTAAATTATTTGATTCCTCTTTTGGGGGATAAGGGTTCTCTGTTTATTTTGCGGTAAAATGTTGTATTTTACTGAACATTGGGATGTCAATAATCTCTGCTGATTTGTGACTGGAGGGTGATATACATGGGAATTGACAGCAGAATTCGAGTTCGGGGTTTGAGCTGTCCGGTAGTGATGTCCAGTGATTGATTAGGCTCGGGCTCGGTCTGTCGGCTTCAATATGTCAGGGGACTGGGGAATAGAAGTCGGATATTTAGAGAGTTCAAAAACACTTTTGTTATAAAAAAAAGGTTGTTATATAAACTTTTTTAAACACGTGTGCATATTTAAAATAATTGATTTAAATTGACAAATTTTCAACATATATATGGAAACTACTGCACACTCTGAAATTTGTGAAGCGTTTGACCTATCGTAAACCATTAATTGTTACATAAATTATATTTAAAAAAAAATACATATCTCATTTTGTATATTAAAATTTTGGAGTTTGAATTGATTGATTGTATCTAAAAAAACTTGTATTGGTTGTAAATCAATTTCTTTTAAAACTACATTTGTCCATTAGGTGTCGATATTTATAATGAAAGTTTAACGCTCCCTCATTGAATCTAAAGCCATCTGAATAGACTAAAGTGTTATTTTCGCACCAAAACGGAAATTTAATTAACGTGTTTGAATGCGTTTACAACTTACCTACTCACTACTGAAAACATCCGGGATAACCATTCCAAAAAAATAATTGTGATGAACAAAAAAAATCCCAATAATGAATCAGTAAAGAAACCCTGACAAGGATCAATCGGAAAGATAACAAACATTTAAATAATTTGAAATCAAAATTTTAACCCAGTGAATTAAATCCTGTTACTCAATTTAGAGAACTTGAAAGGTCCAGGCGGTTTCTTTGATGTGGTGTTCGGTACGGATGGACCGTGACCCCTTTGTGTTGGTCATTCTTTTCCTTACATAAGACTGACAGTGGGCCGCGTGTCCTTCGAGGACTCTTTCTTTGGCCAGTTTGTGTTTGTCAGAATAAGGATAATTTATGCGAAAAATATTACCCCGAAACCAAAGTGATTATTTTTTCATTACATAGTCTTCAATTTCAATGCCCTCTTTCGTTGTAATTTAAAAGAAAATTTCTTTTCTCTCCTTTTCAGTCTTTGGAGTTGAATGAAGTCTGAATCATCAGTTTGATTGGTTGGTATCGCGTCACATGACTGCTGGGTAGGTCGATGGTGGAGATGATTTGAGTTATCATAATATGACACATAGAAGGGGGAATGAAATAAATTTCAGCAACAGAGACATGCACAAAACCGCGTTTTACAACCACCCGGCCGTGTTTCAGAATTACTTCCCCGGCGATACTAATTACTGCTATGATGTTCCGTATGGGCAACCAAACATGTCTCCTCAGACAGGAGATTTCTACTCCCACCCATCATGTGCCGTGCAGAACAACAGCTTATCATCTCCAAACGGATCTTATGGAACACAATACACAGGTCCTGACGGGTACCCTAACCACTTGACCGGGGTGGGGAGTCCGAATACCGCCTCTTTTAGTAACAAGGGAGAAATTTATCCATGGATGAAAGAATCGAGGCAAAACTCAAAGCAACGCCAAACAACTCAGCAACAAAAACAACAGCAACAACCACAACCTCCACAGCAACCTCAGCAAAACCAACAGCAACAGGGACAAACAGGGCAGGCAGCTCAGCAACCCGGACCTGGTAAGTCGTTTGTTCTGCGTTTGTATCTAGAATGATTTGGGGAATTAAATATAGACATTTATAGTTCCCCCCAGTGACCGACTACCCATTAAAACCTAATTTTCTAATGATGGATATTGCTGTTACAGGGGGTTTATGGTCTGTTTCTGTAGATTGTTCGTTTTTTAGAAGTCTGATACAGAAGACGGGCTACCAGAATATATTCCTGATTGATATCACTTTAAGGGCACATCTGTTTACCCACTAGTATAGTAGATTTTTTGCTTTATCTTTTTCCAGATAGACGTATTCGATTGTATAAAGTGAAGATGTCCAATTATTATCAAGAAATCTTATTTTGAAACCGAATGCAAATAATGAATTTTATTACAGGTGTATAAGAATGTTACCTCCATAGTGGATTTTGCTGTACACAGTCAATATCTATAAAATATGATTTAATTCAGTTATAGTAATTATCTTCACACGCATTAAAAAAAAGATATTTCGAATTCACGGTTTATTTAATGAAAAAACAAATACCTGCTGTATTTGCAAATTAAGCAATGAAAATACTTTTAATTAGCTAAAAAGAAGAAGCTACGATCATGATATGTTGAGGTTGTATATGAATCTGTGTGTGGTCTATAAACTTTATATAAGCTTTAATTAAATTACTTGTAATGAGATTCCTGCTCTACAACTATCTGATTTACTTTGTAATGTTGTTATAATTCCTTATCATTATTGCATGCAATGATTAAATGACATTAATTAATTGTCATTCGATGAAAGCGTATGTTTTCCACTGGGAAATGTTCTCAATGCAGTAGCTTTGTTGCCATACTTTCAGGTATATACATAGATATAAAGCAAGACAGGCCACGAACAGAATAATTTTTCTCTTAAAAATGAGTTCACTAAAAATGTGATACTTTTTTTTATCTCATCAGAAATGGATTTCATCTGCAATTTTTTTTAAAGGGTGTTTTATTTTCAAGAACATGAACATATAGCGGCATCCAAAAAAAAAAGAAAAAAAAAAAAGAAAGAAAAACACTAAAATTGATTAAAAAGGCGTATAAATACTGGTCCCTTCTGACATAATTTTATTTTTTAAAATAAAATCGACAGTATTATAACTAAAAACAGTTTTGTTGCAGACTGAAAAATTTTACAAAGGATATTGTCTTTCCACAAATTTTATATAAAAATAAACTTTGCTGTATAAAATAAATAAAATTTGTGGAAAGACAATATAAAAGCTTTGATTTCTGAAAATCAATTTATTTTGTGCTTCTAAAATAAGAACGCGGTCCTAAAAAGTGTTGTCTATCCCAACAGTCATTTTTGTAAATGATTCCATTTATACTGTACATGTATACGTTATCAATAACTCTAGCATGAAACTCACAAATGGTATCTGCATTTTTAAAATCTTGACATGGAGTATATGAATAATAAGCTATAATAGTATACTTTTATTTTAAAAAGTACTTGTTAACCGAGAAGTTGCATTTTTACTCGTAATCTAAAGACTTAAACATGCCGGGTCAATGCTATTTTGAAAAGGATTGATTTAAATGCATTATGAGATTATCATATTGTATAGATTTACAGCAAGTCTTCATTTATGATAATTGATACATCTAAGAAATATTGTTAATTTGACAGTGTTTTTTGGGTTCTTTCATGTTGCTAATTTTAAATTTTCGAGGGGAGGTAAATACAAAAATTACGATCTAGCTCAAAATGTACACCATGAGATAGTTCTAATTGGGCATTTTTTCTCACTTAAATTGTTCTTTTTTGAAAAATAATATATAACCTCACAACCTGTACAACTTTATCTGAGAGGAAATAATTAATATGCAATATCTGTAAAAATAAATAAATCTTTTTCCTTTACTTTTTAGAGCCAACAAAGAGAGCGAGAACAGCGTATACCAGCGCCCAGTTAGTGGAACTAGAGAAGGAATTCCATTTTAACCGCTACCTCTGCCGACCCAGAAGAATAGAAATGGCGGCGCTGCTGAGTCTAACGGAGCGACAGATCAAAATCTGGTTCCAGAACAGAAGGATGAAATTCAAAAAAGAACAGCGCCAAAAACCCCATTCTGACAAGTGTAAACACGACGGGAATTTATCCGGAAGTGATAGTGACAGCCAAGGGTCGACATCCGGTGGCGTTGACCGACTTGGCAGTGATTGTGGCGGGAAATTGAGTCCGGATGACCTGGTTCATCCACATTCACCTCATGGTCTGCACCCCGGGATGGGGGCACATAACAATCACACGAACCACAAAATCACGCACTCACCTCAAGTCCCGGGACAGGACCAGAGTTTACGTAACCAGTACCTCACAGATAACAGTAATTACTTCCGGGAACAAACCTCACCTCGCCAGACTCAGTCAATCTCACCGCCGCATCCACATTATAACGACATATACCAATCCTCACAACATCCGGGCTACAATCACCTCCCTCCCGATACCACGGGTTACACGACAGCGGGTCCTTACAATACCCACAGTCCCGTGTACCCAGAGTTACCTCCCGCGAATGCCCAAATGGAGGCGGGAAATCAGTATTCATCTAATATGGGATACACCACTGGGATTCCAAACTCAAATTGTTATACTCAGGGTTCTTATGACTACATGCCAAAATTGACACATTTATAATTGAAGAATAATGATAGTTTTGTGTTAGATAAATTCTGTTGGATTTTTGTAGTGCAAAAATCTTTAAAAATAAAAAAGATTTTACTTTGAAAACTGGTGACATTTCTGCGTTGATCTTGAACAATCTGGCACCAACAAACTGTGAAAAATCCTGTAAAACTCTGGCAATAAATCTAATCGATTTCAGGCGATCTAAAATCATGGACACTAATAAAGCAATCGGAATTAAACTTAAGCGATAGCCTTAACGACCTGTCGGATCTGACACATCCTTAATAAAGTAATGGCCTTTTAATAGTGTCTTCTAACGATGAAATATACAGCTGTATTAAGGATGCTGGTCACTTACAGACAATGACCACAATATGGTAGAAACTGTCAACAGAATTTCAGTGATGACCACCGTCCGTAGTGATGAGGGAGAGCCAGAAAGGTGTGAGCACGTGTGAAGTGGGGTGTTGCTAAATGGAGTTGTTTTTCTTTGAACGTTTATTAAAAATCATTTAGCCAAAGACAACACGAGAATAATAAATGTGTAGATTGTTAGAAGTGTGCATGTTCCTTAATAATCATATAAATAAACAGTCATTTTACAAGATTCATTGTACATTCAGGGTAAATGTTTGTCATGCCAAACGAGAATTTTAGTTATTTGTTTATCTCCGATACCAGGGTAATACATGTACGAGGCGCATTCTTCCAGGTTTTAAATGTTATGAAGATTTTTTTGACGTATTGTAGAGTTAGAATTTTGCTTTCCTATTGAAAATGTCTTGTTTTTGTGCTTAAGTATAAACTTAAATTTTTACCAAATTTTGAGGAAGAAAACATTTGTTAGATAATTGTCCGTTAATTTTTTGTTACTTAAATAATAAAGAGTCAGACAATTGCATTGTTATCTGTTGTATTTGTCTACTGAACTTAAAAAGTGATAAAAAGGATTCATTAATTCCGAATTTTTAGTACCTTTGAAATTCATCAAAGGTTTAAAGGCAGATTCAGAGACCAATTCTCCTTGATGGATCGTCAGAATTATAGCAGATCTTAAGTATATCTAACTGACCAAAAGTGATTGAAATTAAAAGATAAAATCTCAGATACAGAACGAAATGATTTCTGTCCAGTTTTTTTTTTTTACTGATTATTGTATAAATTATTTAAGATACACCTTTTTAAAAGGTGAATTAATCACAATCGACATTTTATGACAGGCCCAAAAGCTACCCCAATGGACGGCCATTATAGACGTGTGATATCTCATAAAATATTCAGAACCTGAGAAGCAGTGGAAATATTTACAATAACTTGATTGACATGGAGGTTAAAATTTAAAGGCGCCAACTAAAATTCAGAAAATACGGGAATATGCCACCTCTGATTTGAAAATCCGTTCTGATAGAAATAGTGTAAACTGTTTTTATGATAAAATCGCGATTCAGTTTCAAATCCGTCATTTTTTGAGTAAGTGTCAGAATGCATTAATTTAAGACTTCTAGAGATCTTATCTCTTCGTTCAATTAAAATTTTACCACACCAAAGTTTAATACACGTCAAATTTTTAGGCCCCGATCTTAGATGGTGGCGGATAGGCTGTACATGGACCCCAGAAATAATACAATCCCTTTCAATTCCACAACAAAATATTTACAGAAGTCGGCCTTTGATGTACAGAAAAATACCCGGCAATGGCTGATTGTTTTGTGAGTAAACATGCTGGATCAAGGATAATCGTAACTTGCTCCGACTCTGAATTGTGAAGCTGTCACGGGAGCCATATTTGATACGAAGCAGACGGTATCTGCAAGTACCCGGCTGTAACGTCACGGTACCGTACCCGCCGCGACAAATTTGATTATCAAAACAAATATGCCCATAACTTAATATGTTCAGAAATCACCCTCTTTACATGTAGGTGTTCTTTAAAATCTTCTCTGAGATAAAACTGAGATTAGGAATATGAATTCAAAGGTCATCCCTTTTCAAAGTAACTCGAAGCACTTTGAAGAGTAAGCAAGTCTGACGGAGACAACATTTTACAAAGCATAGATCATTTTTTTTTATCCCTATAAATTTATTTCTTCAAGGGACACTAACTGCACTGAATATTTCTATTCGTAAAACAATAAATTGAATTGAATTACCTAGCTCTTGGCTAATTCAAATCTAGTTGTTACTTCATTAATTGGTATTTACTATGCTTGAAATAGTCAGGGCACATAGATAAAACCCCTACAATTTTCCTAACCTATGCTGACTTCAGAATTGAATAATGAAAGATCAGTAGAACTTATTTTCTTCGAAATTGCGTCGAGTATTTCTATCGGGAATTTCACACCTGATGTTTAGTCTGTTATTATTGAATCTACCTATGTGTATGTTGGTGGCCTGTTTACAGAGATCATTACGATAAGGTGAATTAAATTTCTAAAATATTATTTCATTTCATACGTAAATAATAACAGAAACATAGCACAGTAAAAAATAAAAAGAGTCCTTCATTTCAGATTTTATCACAAGAAATGTAGGTACTTATCATTTTAAATTAGAATTAATTTGATAAGAAAATTTGCTAATAAATATGAAACATTCGATGTATCATTCGATTGTCATAATGAATATCTAATAACTAGTAGATTAAAAAAATATTTATTCATGTTCGTCATTACATTTTTTTAACGACGATTAATAAGTGATGAATTCCAACCATGCACAATTCATCAATAACCATTAGCACTAACCCGAATGATAATTTATTTTAGTATTTTGAGTGGTTTTTATGGAAAATGAAGTGGGAGGGTGGGTTATTCTCTTTTTCTGCTAGAAAAACATTCTTGTTGTACATATACATCTATCCAGTAAATGATTATAAGTTCCAGATCTCAAGTTTAATTCGATGTACATTGCTGTTCAATTAAGGTATTTATGAATACCCTTTTTTACATAAAAATTTATGACCAAGATAAAAAATTGACATCTCTGTAAATTGTTGTTAAATAATCAATAAATGTATTTATTTTTTCCTTAAATATTTTAACTAAGTAATTAAGATTAATCGAAATATAAGATTTATTTTTATGAAAGTTTTTGCCTCCGTCATCAGATATTTTGTGAAAAGGACCACTGATATGGCGGTGCTCTAATTGACACAAATGAAAACGCAAGGTTGGAATTTGAATGACCATTTATCAATAAATAAATGACAAGCAAAAAAATATGTCTACAAAGAAAAATTGAAATTAGGAAACACAATTAACACATAAGGTAATAGAAACAAACACATACAGCTAAACTATCATACAATCTTAAAGTATGCAAAGAGGTACACAAACATGTACATTTAATCAATACACATTAGATTTCATGTGCCTTACGTAATTTATAGGGAAAGTTGCGGGTCCTTCGGGTGAGACCTTCACCGAGGTCCCGTGTCACGATAGGCGTTTGCGTGAAGCCCCCTCCCTGCTCAATGACCTAAGTGCCGAGTAAAGGTCAGAATTTGAATCCCTTCACCGGTATAGGGTGACATCTCTGTCTCAGTGAAATAGTCTGGGACGTAAAACAGCAATCATTCAACCAACATACATTATGTGTAGATGTATGAAGTTGTACCAGACACACACTTTCTTTCATGAAAAGTGTTATGCTATTATGGATTACAGGAAAATAAGAGAGAGTTCTCGGCAAATTTTGTACAGACTTTTTAAAATCTGATTAATTTATTATATGTCTTCACATTAAAAAATTAAAAACAAAGAATTTATAGTTTTACTGATTTACATGTTTAAAAGGGATAAGTTTCTGAGATTCCAAAAAAAAAAAAAAAATCATTAAAATTTTCATATAACCTTATTTCTATCGATCAATCAGTATTATTGTGTTAAGTTCATTGACCTTGGGTATGATTTTTTTTCTCAATGAAACAAATTTGAGTGATTTTTTTTCCCATATTGTTGTATATCTAAAATGACATTAATTTCCACATTAGAGGATAATACTAAAGGTTGCAATAGACTTATTTGATAAATATTCGCACTAAAGGTCAAGTCAAAATTTTAGAAAAGGGGCGAGTGCACCACACTGTAGTTAAGCATTGCCTGGAGTCTTATGTAACTTGAGGATATGGGGTAAAGGCATAGAAAAGGAATGTCAGAAGAATGCAAGTCGTGGAACCCTCAAAAATTTCTAGTATGATGAGATAACTCTGGTAAGATTGTTAGAAATATTGGGTCTTGTGAATTAACCATAGTAGTCTCTCTTTTTACACGTGTCATACTCGGAAATTAGGCAGGCGTTAAAATCCAGAATTATACATATCACATTGAAATCTTTTTACCCCTTTTTGAGGAATAGATACAGTTGGGGGAAAATATAAACCTTTTCTTATTCCCAAAAAATCTAAATGCCAAAAATCGTTGGTAACCTTTTCGTACTGAGAAATCCACCGCTCAAAATTGTCCTCTCTGTTTGAAAAATTGTAGCCTTGAAACAATTCTGAAATATAATAAACTTAAAAAATGTTAGATTAAGAATGCATATTAATTTGACAAATGTTAATTTTTGTAATATAATGCTTTCATTCTTTATTTTTAGACGACGCTTTTCATTCAAGGTCTTCTGCAGAAATGAAGTGAACATAAAGTGTACTTATAATTTTGTTTAGAATATGAACGGACAAAAGAAAATCTACATATATCCAGTTTTAAATATAATATATTGTATCTTCATTAGTGTTCATCAGTATTCAAAGTAAAATGTTTTCCAATTTCCCCTTATTTAATAGATAGTCGCATACTTGTACATGTAAAATGGGATCAGTATTGAAAATTTAAAATGCTTTTATTTCTTGAATTTTTGCAGTCGCAAAAGGACTTAAGATTACATGCAACTGAAAACGTTTGTGCCGAGTATGGTTCAAATCAATGTGTTGTAACTACTTGTATATTTTATCTGCAGATGGGATAGTTGGAGGTCAATATTTTCCCTTTCTCTAAATATATCTTTCCTGATACAGATTAGATGAGATAAAAATTGTTGCTGATCTAAGAGGTAAAAAAAACTTTTTTGTGAAATTGAAAGTATTGTTCATTGATTTTGTAAAATGCTGTTCACAAATCCAAACACCTGTGAACACCGTCACTTCTAAAGTCACTGTAA